GAATATCTTCGGTTTCCTCCAGCTAATTATTATTTCACCATCGCATCATACTGTCTTATCGCCTCCTGAGGTGGGTGAAATCCCTTATCAGGCAATATATTGTGCCCAATAGATCCGTTGCTTAGCAGTGACTCTGTAAACAGCGGCTGTTGCTGGGTATGGCCTGCAACATGCACGAAATAATAGAACAACGGGGTTATGCAACCCGTTTATAAGCAAAGGGTCGGTAAACATGCCTACAGCTATAGGGATATTGTTGGAAACGGTGTTTTCTATTCGGTCCATACTTTTATTGGGGAAATTCTCACTTATAATTTCGACTGTGATACCGGCCATCCTGACTTGAGATCTTCGTGGTTTTCTTAAGACCTTCGAGGCAAATTTCGCGGTAGTACCTCAATTAGGCCACAGTCTCCTCCTTACAAGTCCTTTCCAATTTATCATTCACTTATCATCTTACAAATCCTATGCTATATCCTCAATACTGAAAACATGTCGCTAAGTAACCCTTCAAGAAAGAAGTTTGAACCCGAGACCTCACTAATAAGAAACAGGAGTGCCACCCACTCGAGGCATTGTTTATTTAACGACGTTTTCCATTATCAGAGCTATATTTAATACAAACGACGTTAATTCTGTCCTCAGGATATTAGTTGCCACATTCAAGTTTATTATGTAAATGACTCCAGGTTTTATCAATAGTTCGCTTGCAGACTACAGGCCACGGAGTTTATTTTTGTTTTTCCAGGTTCTGTCCCAGGTCCTTACATTAATATGGATATGGATTGGGGGATAGCAGTATTATATAAACATAGGTGTGGCACCTTAAAATAGGCCACAACCACTTCCGTTCTTGTCTCTCCTAATTCAATATTCGCTATCATATTTCATTAATTATTACACGAAGTCTGTGATTCATACAGCATAATAAAATAATATACCAATGGTGCTTATTTTAGGGTGTCTTTTTGGCAACTCAGAGGGGATTCTTGTCTCTGACTCCGATTAGAATGGGAAAGGAAAGAGATACTGCTGTTAGTACGTTAAGAACTGTAAATCAACTTATAAATATAATTACTGGATTATCTAGAATTATGGTTTTCCTGTATATTTCGGGTGACATGAAAACTATTTACAATGTTTGTAATTACTATTTTTCAGAAATTGCTGATCACAGTGGCCGCGCAGTCTAAGGCATGAACTGTCTTCGGTCACTTTAACGCTGGGATCATGGGTTCGAATCCCATTCAGGTTATGGATGTCTGTGTTTGTTCTGTGTGTAGGTAGCGGCCTTGTGACGGTCTGATCCCCCGTCCAAGGAGCCCTACCGCTTCTGTATAACATTAAGAAACTAAAAAAATGGCCAATATACAAGGACTTTAGTGCCTTAGATACATTCTTCGGAAATTCCCGTGTGGAGGCCGGTTAGAATACCTCCACCGTAGCTCTGTGAGATGTAGAAGGCGACGAAAAGGGAACTCGGTGCTTGGGGGTAAACTGGGCCACCCTATCACGGGGGGACATAAATACAGAGACCTGGTTCTTGGGCACAAGGCTGACAACCTTTTTTCTGTAACAGAACTAAAAAATATGTAATTATTTTGCTTTGTGAATGCTACTGTGTAATGGAAATATGGGATCTTTCACATGTTTCAGGGAAACTCTATTAATTAACTGTAGTATTCATCGTTTCTAGGAAATTCGCTAGCCCTGATATGAATATGTTAATGGGAGGGAACTGTGCATATACAAAATATGGATAATATATAACATTCGTTAATATCATCATTAATATGTAAAACAGAAATCAATTAGTTAAGAATTGCTGTTTACTGGGATGTAACACTATACAGCTCAATAAAAACGTACCCACCTCTTGCCTCCATTTTAAGCGTAAAGTTTCCATACGAACACTGGTATCTATAAACGGTAAAGGTAAGGTTGTCCCTGTGCTTAACTAATTAAGCACTACGCCATGAAGGCGTATGTGGGAGTGGATGTAGAGATCCACATTTTCTTCACTTCAGCACTAGATGGATGTGAGTGGTCAGCTGCATGTCCTTGTCGCTTTACCCCCGGGAATAGAGCCCCCGGTACCCTTTGGATAGGAGGCTGGGTGGGTCCCAGAGCCGGTCTGGAGAACGTGGAGAAGAGAAAATTCTTGACCCTACCGGTACTCGAAATCCTACCCCTCGGTCGTCCAGGCCAACATTGGTATCTATTTGTACCAAAATACACGGTGTGACATCTCAGAAGAGACTAATCTATAATTACTGCCATGAGAACCTCAAGTCTCGTTTACTTCATTTTGTTCCCATCACATGGATGAAAGTTTGTCATAAATTGGCAGAGAACTGAATTTTGTATACACCCATTCCCATGTGTTATGGATCCCTGGATACATAAATCCAATTTAACCGTCTGTGTCTGTCTCCTTCAACATTGCATGGTACACTGCATATTTAAAAGTTGACCTGTTAGATTGCTGAAAGACTCACTCATTTGAAACGATGTAAATTAATCGAAAGCAGCCAGCTCGTTTAGTTCAATTCTGCAATTCCATTCCTCCTCTAAGTGTACACTCTTGTGAGAGATATTATACACACAAAAATATTTGAAATTTTTCACATAGAAGAAGACAGCCGAACTCGCATTTTACGTTTCCACGTCCATTTCGACCAAACTTTTCTGGATAGTAGAGGACCAGCCAGAGGAGGTGTTACACATTCAAGTTTCTTTATTATTGATTGATAATCATTTCCTGGCGTATTGAGTGTTTTCTTTTGCAGTCAGTAGAGCTTAGAAATGAAGTATACTTACTTATGGAGCTGAGTCCTGCTTGAGGAGAAGCCAAATCTGCAGCTACTGAAGAATTTCCCAGCCTTTTATTGAACCCGATGGTTCATTAGCGTGTTCGCAAGAGCCCTTCACCGGTCTCTATCCTGAGCCAGATCAATCCAATCAACACCATCCCATCCGATTTCTCTAAGATCAATTTTAATATTGTCTACCCACCTACGCCTTGGTCTTCCCAGTGGTCTCTTTCCTTCTAGCTTTCCCACCAACATCCTATATGCATTCTTCTTCTCCACATTCGTGCTACATGCCCTGCCCACCTAAAAATTAAGTATACTTAAGTGAGATACTTAATTTTCAGTATTTAAAAATTAGCATATTTTTAATTCGCAAATAGGCCACGATTTACATTGCAATTGCCACCTGTTCAAGCTGGTTACTCGCTCGCACACCTTGTACTCTGAAGTTGGAGGCGATACGTTCCTCCGAAAAGTCTATTCACACAAGATCTACACGGCGCCACGTCCCAGAAGACGTCAAATCTTATATAATGAAATTGATTCATATGTATTTTAACGATGCTGCTTCAATTAAAACGGTTATATAATGCAGACGAGACGGGAAAATGATCCTGGATGATGCGTGGATAATAATTTCGATGAAATGCCAGTGCCCTCCTTTGCGATGCTATTCTAGCATTCGAGAGAGAGGCCGAGGAAAATTATGAAATAAATTAGTTCTGATATTCGGTTTTCGTGTTAAGTATTCCTCAGGGATGATGAATGTGAAAGTCACGTCTGAAGCAAGTTATGACGCATTTGGCGGCCGAGTTATGGACCAGCGATATTCCTAGAAAAGCAATTAACATATTCATTTTATGGCTCGTTATTTGTGAATGAACACAGGATTTTTTATGTCGAAGAAACGTCACTTTGAGCAGCGTGGGATATGCAACCAACTGAAGGAGCCCTGACAGATAACATACTTAAATTTAAAAGCCTCTCGATTTTTATGTGACACATTATTCCTTGTCCGAATTTATGTTTTAAGTATGTAGTTTCGGAGATGGAGTTCGAGGGCGAGCACGGATAGATCGTCCCTCCAGTTTACTTGCTCATTTTGTGAAGTTCTTCCGAAGAACTTGTTTAAATAAAATGCGCTGAAATCCTTATCCGCTTAACAGAAATTGCTAACTTGCGTGCCACTGAAGCGACAAATATTATAACACTGAATGGACTACCAATACGCAGAATATTTGCGCATGCGCTGGGAGTGGATTAGTGAAACCGGGATGACTTAATCAATATACCGACTGGGCGTGAAGCTAGCCGCTCATCTCACATAGTTTAGAGGTTAAGAATGTATGGATATATATCTCCCTCTCCCATACGTCTTCATGGTTTTATGCTTAATTAATTATAGGGACATTTATCACAATGTGGTCTTCTGGGTTGTGAAATTATAGACGAATAACGACATTTTGGAGGAATACAGAAGACCACAATTAGAAGAGTCACAGACACGAAAATATCAAAATTTTACCTTTCTCCTTTCTATAGGTTAGTAAATAATAAAAGCTATACATTAAGTAATCTTAATTCTTTGAGTAAAGGGCGCTGACGTTAATGTAGTAGAACGTAGCAATGAGGTTCCATTCACAGAATATGGATGGAACATACCCGAGAAGGCGCAGAGTAGTATGTGGTTGTTTATCGAGGTTGTCAGCAAGGCGAACAACAAAGCGTTGATGATTGATCGATAGTGAATTGGAAATGATTTCCTACGAAACGATCATGGCATAATAGAGACAATATCCAAGCATTGCATTAAGTCACGGAGGACAATCACGAAAACTCCTCCCAGTTAGGACAGCCGGTGTCCCGGACGAGGTTCCAACAGAGTACCAACCTGCTAAGTTATTGCATAATATCCCTATAACATGGCTGAGTAAATACATTTACAGGGACGAAACGCACCAACAGCACAGTTCCTTCAGTTGAAAGTAATAACACGCTTCTTGGCCTTGGATTTAACAATGGCATTCCAACGATGGACGTCACTATTTCCCGCCAATGCGCCTTCCATCTGCGCATGTGTCGATACTTGGATAGTGAAATCAAACTACTATATTGTGTGAAGTGGGGGAGGAAGGCGTCTCGGCGCGCAGCGTCTAGGTCGAAGTATGGCAGGGGAAGAGGGGATGTTATGGTGGTATAGGAGCGAGCTATAGGGACAAGCGGCAGTGTTGGGAGGGTCATGAGCGCAGAAGGACACACATACACAACTGTTTGGTCAGACGAGACATGTATCAGAATGGCCGACACAAACATGGTAAGTCTCAATGTTGTTTTGCACGTGGAAATGGCACAGGGATTATTGCAGGATGTGATTGTAGAGGGCAGTGTTCTCCGCCTTGTGTTTTAAAATGACAGTCAACTTGCCGCATGCTAGCCAATGGCTAGAGAATAGAGGGTGTAGTGTGTATTCGTGTTATAATATGAGAAAGTACTGTTTCATGAAATGTAATTGTAAGAAGTTACAGTTTGTTGTGCAACGGGTATGTTTCTGATACGACGTAACAATTTGTCGTAGAAATAGTAATGGAAATGTTTACATCAAAGGTGTACACGTTCTCTTAAACACGTTCTTTGTCATTTCTCAGACTTTATTTGCTTTAAGGTTTATTTATTGTGGGTACAAATATATTGTTACTGAAATAAGTTACACTGCTCAGACAGAAATTATTTTTATCCTTGTGTTTTTGAATATTCGCGGTATTGAAACGTGGATTAAAAACATTTATGCTACATGTCATGTAATAGTGTTGTTAAGATTTTTGAAGCAAAAAATCCATAAAAACGTAAATGGACGAAAAATTATCGTGACGTTTATTGTAGCCCCATGTCGAGAAATAGTAATTCTTCCGTAATTTCGGAGATGAAATATAACAAGCAATAGAGAAGGACGGACACGATTTCCCTGATGTGCTTTCACTTTATGTATAAAACTCGTGAAAAATGACATCCGTTAGGAAATTTATCCAAAGTTGCGTTAAATTTTTAATAAATTGGTATTCGTTGTTCGCTTTTTTGTACAAGGTAAATTGCTTTTGACGTTTTATGTTTGTTAAGAAAAATACCCCTCTCTTTTCCCGCTGTGACATCAAAATACAGGAACTTTTTAATTTAGAAAACCAGAACTGCCCTTATGGGGTCTGTATACAGATTATTTGTCAGTCATATTTTATTTCAACTGTTAATTGTATGGTCAGATTCTTTTTCTGAAATTAATATTATTCAGCCGGATAAGGAAGCATCTGTTCACGGGGCTCAAATTTTATTTGCTGTGCTCACAAGAGTCCTCAATTAGGCCATACCCAAATCCAGCTAAATTCAGTGCACACATTAATATCCAGGGTCTAGAAAGTCTATTCTGTTATTTATTATTATTATTATTATTATTTCTTTTATTGCTAGTTGGGTTGGACTAAGTCCCTTGTACTTCG